GTCCTTTCAAGTCTATAATTTTTAGGGCTAAACCACATCCTTTGGAGGTAGTTACTCTATAATACCTTCTTGTCTTAAATATTATCATTTTGTTCTGGAAAGAAACATTTATTTTTATTTTGTATTTTGAAAAACATTTCTAAGGTCTTTTCCACATCATACACATTGTTCTTGAAGTGCTCTAAGCATTGAAGAACATAAAAATGCAAAAGAGGAAGCACAAAAGGAAGAAAGACTCATGGGGCACAAGGGAATTATTCTGTAGTATTAATACAGAATTTATCAAATATTAAGTGGCTTGAATGGGATTCTTTATTCAGAAGTATATGGAGAATTAAAAATGTGAAGTTAAAGTGTATTAATTTGTAAAAGTACATCTCAAGATCAATGATATTGATATTTATAATGCTTGATCTGGCAAGAGAAAAATTTCAGGCGATTAAAAAAAGCTAGGGTGGCCAGCCTGGTGGCATAGTGGTTAAGTTTGTGCCCTCCACTCCAGCGGCCAGGGGTTCCTGTGTTTGGATCCTGGGCGTAGACCTATGCACCGTTTATCAAGCCATGCTGTGGCAGGCATCCCACATATAAAATAGAGGAAGATGGGCACAGATGTTAGCTCAGGGGTAATTTTCCTCAAAAAGAAAATAAATAAAATTTTTTAAAAAGCTAGGATTGGATTTAGACTCTTCTATTAACAATAGCACTGTGTGCAGTTCGTATAGCTTCTGAACAAGAGTATCTGTGGTAACACGCAAAGATAATGCTAATATAGCACCTGACACTACGAACCGTAAAAAACGTAATATGGCACGATAGGGGATTCAGTATGCTGAAAATCTCTGAGTAGTAAAAGATCTACTGAATTTTATTTTGCAACAGTAAATCAGGTCTTTAACAACATTTCAGTTCATGGACTTAGTTCATGTTATAGTAAATCTTTTTAAAAGAGAATTATATTAGCCAGAAGTCCCTATTCCTCATCCGTGTATAATCAAAAAGTGGTTTCTACAGCTACTTTAAAGGTGACAGCTATGATTCTAAGTCAGGGTCAGTTTTAAACATGGATGAAACTCAGGATGGTCTGTGTCTGTGAAGAAGGTTAGGCAGAACTCCACAACCCAGATGTATTTTGTCACTAGACTTGAAAAGCAATTTCTGAGATTCATTCCTTTGGATCCTTTGTTCTATACACCTCCAACTGGAGAGGTGGCACCACCAGTTGTTGCCATGAAACTTGGTCATGCCAGGAGAGCTGAAGACTGGTTCAGAGGACCCTTTGGAGATGGGGACCCAGGAACAGACTGGAGAAAATGCAGGAGAGGAATGAGGAATAAGTAACCAGAGGAGACTTGAAAGGTATGGGAGCAACAAGGAGAAATATGGCCTGGTTCATAATTTGTTATAGCTATGCTCTGCACATTTGCACCAAAAGATTACTTTCTTTCTTGGTCCCGTTGAAAAAAACAATCATGCGTTATCTCTGTTTCAAAACATCATTAACGCCGGGATTACAGGCAATTCTCATTTTTCTTTGTGTTTTGCTGAAATCCTATTTAAAAGAAATAATTAATAGATATTATTTTTAAAACAAAACACAAGTAGTATAAGCAGACAAAATAGTCTATCACCACAAATGGAGGAAAGAAGATGGATCTATCTAGAGAATGTTTTTGGAGTGAATACCTGGGAACAGGGTCCATAATCTAAGGATGTATAAAATGTGCTGGTGGCCTAGGTGTTCACCCTGGCATGGGAGTAATAACCACTGATGAAAGGACTTTAATCAACGGCCTGCACCCTGGGCTCCTGGCTGAGCTCCTGGGCTCCATACGCCTGTCACTTGGATGCCTGTGTTCCCATCGACACTGCAGTTCTCAGTCTGAACTTGGACAATGCTACAACTAGGCCGCCAGCCTGACACTCGGTCCCTGACCTCGGTGCCTCGTTTTCTAGACAGGAAGCCAGACTACACCGTTTATAATTGTTGCAGGAGAGCATAGCAACAGTATTGCAAGGATTTAAGCTTAGCAGGAACAAATTACAAAATGGGTGACTGAGAAATATGCAACTTGCTGATTCTCATAAATTACTGTGTTAGATTGTTTGTGCTTTGGAATCAAAGACCGGAAGGTAGTATCTTATCAAACATGAAGGCAAGGGGCTTAAGAACGCTGGGCCCTTGCAGGCACGGAATGCCGTCTGCATAACTTGCCAGATTGTTTGTTCCCAGGATACTCCCTCAGAGAATGGCCTTGTGTAGGGCCGGGGTACATTGAAGGGGGGAAGACTAGAACTGCTGAGCTTTGACTTGCATCTTCCTGCTGGCATGAGTTCCTGCTATGCTTGTACTTCTTGGTCTGCAAATAAATACGTGGTGATCAGAGGGATGTCACCTCAGTCCTAGAGGCTGATGGTCCCCTGTCCCATTAAATAATATAGAGTGTGTTGTGTCTATTATATAGACGTGTTCTGTATATTCATTCCATCCATCCCTTCAGCTGGCTGCCTAGCTGGTCTCGGCAGCATATAATGCTTATTATTATTCAAAACAGCTTTATGTTTTGTTTTAATTGTAGTCAGTTGTATTGGGATATAATTTACAGAATATAAAATTCACCAGATTTAGAGTACAATTTGATAAATTTCAGCAAAGGCATGCAGTCATGTAACCACCACTGCAACTATGATATAACAGCTTTCCATCATCCACAAAATTTCCTTTGCAGTCAATCCCTTGCTCCAATCCCTGTATCTTTACAACCACCGATCTGCTTCTATCACCAAAGTATTGCCTTTTCTAGAGTTTCGTCTGAGTGGTATCATATAATTATTCTTTTGTGTCTACCTTTTTACTGAGTATGATGCTTTTGAGATTCATCTACTATATTGTGTCTTTTTATTGCTGAATAGAATTCCATTGTCTGCATATACCACAAGGTGCTTACTCATTTGCCAGTTGATGACATTTGGGTTCTTTCTAGTTTTGGGCTATTAAAAAGAAATCAGTACTGATGTTCTAGTACTGGCCTTCGTGTGGGAACACATTTCCTCTAAGTAAATACCTAGTAATGAAATAGTTGAGTCACATGGTGAGTGTGTGTTTAACTTCCTAAGCGACCACCAAAATGTCCGAAGTGACTTTGACATTTTGCCTTTTTACCAGCAATGTATGAATCCTCCAGTCCTTCCACATTTTCACCAACTTTGGGTACTGCAGATTTTTAGCCGTTCAGTTGGGTATATGACAACATCTCGTTGTGATTTTAGTTTGCATTCCCTAATGACTAATGATTTTCATCATTTTTTTCACATGCTAATTGGCTATTTGTATGTTTTCTTTGCTAAATTGTCTATTTAAAGCATCAGTCCATTTTAAAATGTGGATATTTGTCTTATTACTGAATTGTAAGAGTTTTTTATTACTCTGTATACAAATCCTTTACCAAATACGTATTTTGCAAATATTTTCTTTCTAGGCCATGGCTTACATTTTTTAAAAGAGGGATATTTTGAATAGAAATTTTTAAATTTTGATGTCAAAATTAACAACTTTTCTATTTGCATATGTTTTTAAAAAATATTTTCTAAGAAATATTTACTTAACCTAAATCACAATACTTTCCGTGTTTTCTATTAAAAAATATAAACTTTTAGTTCTAAGAATTAGACAAGTTCAAATTACTTTTCGTAAATGGTATGAGGTAAGGGGTGAGGTTGATTTTTCTTTTCACGTATGGATAGCCAGTTGTTTCAGTACCTTTTTCTGAAAAGGCTGTCCTTTCTTCATTAAATTACCTGGGCACCTTTGTCAAATACTAATTGATACATAAATATATAAAATTGAATACACTTGCTATTATTATTTTGGACCAACTCTTGTCTGTTAAATCAACAAATGCTCTTCCTTTCCTTGTGTGTATCTGATTTTCTGACCTATATCATTTTCTTCTCTCTGAAGAACTTTTAAAATTTCTTCCAAGATAGGTCTACTGGAAATATATTCTTTCAATTTCTGTTTGTCTGAGACAGTCTTTAGGGTTTTTTTTTCCCCCTCTCAACACTTTCATATTTCACTCTACTCTCTTCTTGCTTACATGGTTTTCAGGAAAAGTCAGATGTAATACTGATCTTACCTACAGAGAAGCAAAGATGGGGGATTTTTCTCTTTATCTTTGATTTCTGTGTATTGAATGTGATATGCAGGAATAGCTGTGTTCCTTTTCTTTTTGGCACTTCACCTGCCTGTTTTTTTCCTAGGTTTCCTGGATCTGTGGCTTGATGTCTGCCATTAATTTGGGGAAATTCACAGTCATTATTGCTTCAAATATTTCTTCAGCTCCTTTCTCTCTCTCATCTCTTTCTGGTATTTCCATTATGCAGATGTTGGATCTTTTGTAGTCGTCCCACAATTCTCAGATATTCTGGGTTTTTTTCAGTCTTTGCTTTTTATTTTTGGAAGTTTTACTGAGTTGTGCTCAATTTCAGAGATTCTTTCCTCAGCCATGTCCAGTCTACTAATGAGCCCATCAAAGGTAGTCTTCATTTCTGTTACAGTTTTTGATGTCTAGCATTTCTTTTTAATTCTTTTTTAGAATTTTCTCTCTATCCTTAGATTGCCTATCTGTTCTTGCATGTTATTCAGTGTATCCACTAGATCCCTCAGGCTTAAATCAGAGTTGTTTTAAATTTTTGGTATAATTCCAACATCCCTTCAATAGCTGAGTCTGATTCTGTTTCTTGCTCTGTCTCTTAGAACTGTGTTTTTCTCATATTAGTATGCCTTATAATTTTTTGTGTGAGTGACAGATATGATGCAGCGGGTAAAAGGATCTGCAGTAAACAGGCCTTTAGTAATGTGGTGGTAAATTATGAGGGGAGGGGAAGCCTTCTGCAGTCCTATAATTAGTTTCAATCTTTAAGTGAGCCTGTGCCTTTGGGCTGTGAACCTCGCAAATGTTTCTCTGTCCTCTCCACCCCTGAGGTGGGACAGGATGGCTAGCATAGGCTGGAGTTGGTTAATTCCCTTCCCCTGGGTCTGTAAGGATCTGAAAAAACTCCAGTAGTTTAGACTCTGATAAAATAGTTTCTTTTGAAGGCAAGCATGGTTAAGAAGAACATAGTGCTCTGGTGTATTTCAAAATGGTTCCTTTTTCCCTACCCCTGCTGGAAGCCTGAGGGGACTTTTCTTCAACATTCACTGTGATAATCAAGCTGAGCTACTGGAGATAAAACTCATAAAAGTGTGGGGACCGTGCTATAACTGGATCCCCTGAAGTTTGGAACCCTTAGACTTGTCTTTATGAGACGCCATCAAATTGTCAATTATGGTTTGGTTTTCCTGCTGGTTCTGGTTCCCACGGAGGTTTCTGCTTAGGTAAGTTGTTTCTCTGTATTTGCCTGCCTGCCTTTCCAATTTGGGGGACAGCAATTTTCCCTGTAATCTCACTTCTCTGATAGATGTAAGAACAGTTGCAGATTTTTTAGTTTCTTTAGCTTTTCACTTGTTGTTAGGAGAGAGTGATGACTTCTGAGCTCCTTACATGCCGCCTCAGAATCTGGAAGTCTCCTGATCTGTTAGTATTTTAATAAAAGTATCACTGCACATATTCAATTGGGAATTTTAAGTGAACTTGTACATAGTGGTCAAAAAAGAGATTTGTCAAGCTTATGAGATTCTCACAGTGGTATTAGCAAGATTCCTCAACCCCCACAACAACAACAAAAACACTTTGCTATTGTCACAGCTTTGTGATAGTCAAAGAAACAAGAGTAAACCTTATAAGTGAAAATGATGAGTAGGGATATATGTTTGTTTTTTTTGTTTTTGTTATTTTGGAGGAAGATTAGCCCTGAGCTAACATCTGCCACCAATCCTCCTATTTTCACTGAGATAGACTGGCCCTGAGCTAACATCCATGCCCATCTTCCTCTACTTTAAATGTGGAGTCCCTTATATGCAGGACTTGTAAAGCCACAGCATGGCTTGATAAGCAGTGTGTAGGTCCACACCCAGGATTCGAACCTACGAACCCTGGGACACCAAAGCAGAGCGCACGTACTTAACCACTACACCACCAGACTGGCCCCAGGATATTTGCTTTTGACATGCAGCAGCTTATGTGGCACTGAAAATATAGATTTTAATGTAGACAGATTTTAAATTCTATCTTCTCTGCTTAATTAGCCATATTATGTGACAGAAGTTATATATTCTTTTTGAATTTCCATTCACTCGTTAGTTAAAAAAATTCTTTTCAATATTGAATGAAATAATACTTAAGAAAATTCATATCATTTGAGGTAACTCAATATTTTCTTCAACTCATATAATATTCATTTTTTGAGATCTTTATCTGAAGACTACTAGTTTTAAAGATATCTGCAGAAAAAGATAAGATTCTGAGATGTTATTACAAGAGTTAAATCAGGGAGAGCTTGTAGAAAGGTGGCTAATACATGAGACTTGACCCACAAATGTAAATAAAATGCTAATCCTAGACTTTAATTTGATACGAATTTTTGGCTCAGGATAACCTGAAGTATTAATTTTGGATTAGTCGGTCAGAATAGAAGAACTCAGGAAAATGTCAAGAACAGTCACAATTTACAGTGAAAGGGAAGCTGGGGTAGCTGGGCAAGTGCCCAGAATCTTTTGAAATCAATCAGCCAGCTATCCAGGAGCCATCCTAGAATCGGACCTGGTGGATGGCGGAGTTCAGATCATTCAATTCTATCGCATTTTGAAAGAAAATTAGTGTTAGATTAGGCAATGAGTGCAGAAAATTTAGACTAAGTTGCTTGCTCAGTTGTCGAATATATGTTTATATCTTTTAAAATTGTACATGCTTTGATTTACTTCAACTGGTTTTCTCGGCGTATTAGGATAAATTCTATATGAAATGAAATATTCTGTAGGAATCATTTGGAGATATTTTTAGGGGTGATGTCTTGAATAACTTACTGTGTTTAACTGTCATTTACCTATATACTTAAACATTGTAAAACTGTGTTGGATATCATCCTACCAGCATTTGAAACGGTCTCTGTAGAGTACTGTTTGCTCTAGTAGGAAAACAATTTGGAAAAGCTTGAAAATAGGTAATTTCTTCCTTTTTTTGCTTGTTGTAATAATGAAAAGTGAGAGAGAGTTTAAAAAGTAAATGCTATAGATTGAAATTAAATCATAAAACACTAAAAGTATTTTCATATGTACAAATTTCAGAATCAATTACTTTGTGCCTATAGCTTTTCCATGCTAACATGTGCTATTCATTAATAAAACATAGTCATTCTTCATTATAGACAAAGCAAATGTTCCATACACTGCCCTAGAGAAAGACCATTTAGAAATAAACAAGCAATGCCTAAGGAGATGTGTAATTTAGCAAAAATGACCACCCAAGCTGAGCTATCTTTTGGGGAAAGAAAATAGGAGATAAACAACCATCCTAAAGGGCATTGATTTGAAAATAAATTAAACATTTTCCCCGGAGAGGCACAGCTTAGAGATCAAGTATTTGTGGATACCCCCCAGCAGCCATTCACGACAAAAAGAACACCCAAATGACATTTGAACAAATGTGTTTTCTTTTGTAGTGGTTAGTCCATTTCTAAGTTTTTAAATTACTCATAACCCACTAAAAATCTCACTGGTCTTTTCTTACTAATCTAGAAGCATTCTTATATTTTCAGCATTTTATAATTTAATTATTTCCTTCTGTTTTCCTAATTTTTTTGTAAATTTTATTTTGAATCAGGATTTTATACTTTATTTTTATTAGCATCATTTCTTTTTGAGAGGTTAAGGGAAAGATCTGACCTTTAAGGGATTGCCTTTTCAATTAAAGTCCTTACAATATTTGTCCTGATTTAACCTTACCATGACCTTATTTCTAGAGTAAAAAAAAAAACAAAGCTGATGATCATATTAAAACTCTGTTTTGCACTTTTTTTCATCTTATTTTGGAGATTTTCATCTGAAATTCAAATAGTCCAACATATTATTTGTAATTCACTGAAACACTGTGGTCAAGATGAACAATTAAAGGCATTCTTGTGATCACCTCTTGTTTTTTTTCCTTTCTTGCTGAGGAAGATTTACCCTGAACTAACATCTGTTGCCAATCTTACTTTTTTCTTTTGTATGTGAGCTGCCACCAGCATGGCCACTGACAATTGGTGTAGGTCCGCACCCAGGAACTGAATCTGGGCCACCGAAGCAGAGTGTGCTAAACTTAACCCCTAGGCCATGGGAGCTGGCCCTCCTCTTGTCATCTTAACTTCAGACTCCCTGAAGCTATAACAGATAGCCAAGCACATCAGTGGAACCCCACAACCTTCTTCAAAGACATTTATTTTTCCTTTGGTAGTCAGCAACTCCCTCTATCTTGACTTCAATTTATCATGTCAGTTGGTCTTGCTCATTGCAATGTTTGTATTTGAAGAATTACCTAAATTATCAGCTCTACTCATCAAACATCATCTATGTGAGATTCTTCTTCTTGCATTCTGTATTTAGCCTACAGGTGGTCTGTAGCTTTTTATCTTATGCTTCCAAACAGAAAGGAGGGATATGACAGACACATTTCCAAAAGGAACTGTGGATCAGTACCTCAGTTCTCAGCCACCTTTGTGGCTCTGGTCCTGCTGCCTGACCTTTATTCAAGCCAGCAGGATTGTAAGAATATTATTAAGTAAATTTAAGAATTTGGGAAGTCACAGGATAATAATAGGAATAATCTTAAGAATTTCTCTAACCAGATATCTATATTATTGAAGTTCAGGGATGTTGATCAGATACCTCTATTTGTCCCGTAAATAATATAGTTAATGTTTACTGGTTCTTAATCCATTCCAAACTCTTTTCTACATGTGGTTGAATAATTCATTTGGTACTCACAACCACACTCTGAAGTATCTGTTAATTCCATTATTACAGATGAAGAAACTGAGTCAAGAGAAGCTATGTGATTTGTGCAAGGTCACACAACTTCGTATGGCATGATTTCAACCCAGATATGGGGGCTCCAAAGCCATGGATCTAATCACTCTTCAATCTTAGCTCATCAAATTTTAATCAGTCAGGTCAGGTTGATATCTGGCAATGCTGGAGCATCTCTGATGTAAAGACTGGCAAGCGTTCTTTAGGGCCATTTTGATAGGATTTTTCTGATTAATTCATATATTAAAAGTATATAAGTACTAAAAAGAAATAAGCTATTGTGGGACTCAGATTTGGCTTCCTCAGGATGTATCTCTTTGTCATGAGAATTATTTTGGGGTAGTTACTTTTAAGAAACTACAGATAGGGGAGAAGTTCTAAAAATGAAGTAGAAGTTACCACTTGTAGGAGACATTTACATTTGTAAGGGAAATCTATTTGTAAAGCTGTGTCCCTCTCTGTACCAGGAAGATGGGGAATGACCTTATCGCTAGAAACTCTTATCAATGTGGAAGGCAAAGACTTAAATCTGCATAATAACTTTACTCATGTTTAATGTGCTTTTTCTGGTAATCTCCCATAACTGACCCCCTCCCCAACATCCTCTTTTGTCTTTAGCTGAGGGTGGTATTTAAGTCAGTGACCTCTGCCTCAATATAGGCACCCATAGCTTAGCACCACCAGTGGGAAAACATTACTACCCCCAAGCCTAAAGGGATAAGGAGGTGAAACAGTGCTAGTAGAACTCAGAGCTCGAGAGTGGAGGAGGCCCAGCCACCTAGCAGAGCTGGTGAGAAGCAGCCTCCTTGTGTCTACAGGAAGGCAACTACTCCCACCAGAGAGACATGAATCCAAAGCTGGAGCAACAAGGAAGCCATATCTCCATCTCTTTTTCCTCCAATCTCAAAGCCACAGGCAGAAATGTTGAGTTGCATAGAACTCAGGAATTAGCCTCCTGAGGCACAGAGGAACAAAGAAAAGCAGATATCAGATTGGGCTGGGGTGGGTTTGGCTCATGAATAAATGTTCCTTAAAAACTTTCTCTTACAGGTGCTTTCTTTATTGATTGTATTATACTTGTGTTTTTGTCTGAGTTACTTGATTTAACAAAACTAAATGTCATCCTGTTGTAAAATGAGGATGCAACACAGATCTCCTCTACTTCCCAGGGCTGCTTTGCAGATCAGAAAGGTCCATTTTTATCAACATTATTCAGGATCGCTCTACCAACCCTGTATCTGGAGTGAAGCATGGATGGTAGTTATATAATATGTCCTTGATGGTCCAGATACTTAGACCCTCCTAGGAACTTTGTTCAGCATTGCATGAAATTATAAGCAATATATTACATGAATCCAAGGAAAGAGAAATCACTATGATCCTTAAAGAGACACATAAAATTGGCTTTGTGTATAAAAGGAGTAGAAAAAAGA